CGCGTGCTCAAACTTAGTGCTTCCAATGTATCTGCCTTTGTGAATGTCCAGATCTACTCAGATAAAAGGGGGTCCTCATTTACGTCTCCTTATGGCTCGAATTATCTGTCATACGACCGGAAGTGTCGTCATAATCTGTGTCATATCATTGTTGTCACGCGAAACTCGGATCATTCGCGACAGTATTCAATGAATGAGTGGCTTCCAAAAAATGAGAAGTGTCTGTGGTTGTCATTTCATTATGTATTTTTTCCTTTTTTGTTCCAGAGAAGAGGCAAAGGTATGCATGTTATTATTAGATTCATAATATAATTTTAATAGGCAGAAATAGAAAAACTAAAATGTAGTTTGGTGCGTAGAATAATTTTCAATAAATGAACGCTAATATACACCTTGTAACTCTGTTCTAGAATAAAATACTTAAATACGGTAGTTTCCAACTAGTCAAATTCAATACTTTTATCCAAACGTCAAAAACGATACATTTCTATGAAATTTGTATGAAAAACTGAGCTATGAAATAAAATATAAAAATACACAAATAGCTTACTTATTTCATAATAATAAGTTTAAAAAAATCTATAACTTAATGTATCAATCGATCGATGAATAAAAGTATATTTATTTTTCAATATTTTATAGTATTAAAACATCGCATTAATTTATTTTTGACCTAGGAAACTACCCAATTAAATTACCCTTTGCTCAACTGTAGTTTGACGAGACAGAATACAAATAATAGTAAAATTGTATTATATATCTTCTAGTAGACAGTTGTGTACCAACTCTAAGCCGTTGTTAAATAGAGCCTAAACATGTAGCGACAGTTTATTGTCAAACATATTACATGACGAAATTAGTACTACTTACTGTGCCTTTGTTCAAATATTTGTTACAAAATATATAACAAACAATTGATTTTACATTCAGCCTGTACATAGGAAAATGTGTAATGATACAATATAAAAGAATATTGTATACTTTTTAAAATGAAATAAACGAATTTCGATTGTTCATAGTTACTTTTCATTTCAAGCGATTACTGAATAAAACATTCAAAAGATTAGTGAACAAAAGACGAATTGAAAACGAAACATTCACAACGAGACTTCACGAACGAATTAATAATTAAGATAAAACGAACACCTTTGGAAGTAATTGGAAACAAAGGAATTTAAATGAAAGACTATTTGAGAGGAGTGAAACAGCAATATTTTACATCCCCTTCACGAGTCTAGATCGGTTAGAGAGCACTAGAGTTAATGACTGACTCACATTCATATCCACGGTCTGATTAATTATTTACAAAGGGATGAACCTTGAAGTGGGTGTTGAGACTATAAATATGACCGTTGACACGTCACGTAGGATAAATCTAGAGTCCGGAAAATAAAGGACGACACTCACGAATGTGTTGTGACGACGTGTGGGCGGCAACAATTGGTTTTTCGGAAAAAATATGTGACCTTTGTGACACTTTAGTTTAGATATACTGTCACAAAGCATTACTTTCTTATATTTAGGGTTAGATTTACAAGTCTCCTCCACTATATAAATAAATAAACAGAGATGGTAAAGCCAAAGGTAGATTGTCAATTTTGCGGACGCGAGACAATAGTGAACGAGTACCCAAGTTAGTGTAACAAAAGGCTTTCAAAATGCCACCACCAACTTCATGTCAAGAGGATAGAACGAGGCTATTGAAATACTTTCTACACAGCGAGAATTAAGCTGGTACTACCATAATAGCTACATGTCTATGCAAAACTATAATAGTGTAGAAATACGATAGCATCAGCTAATCTTATGTTGCTATTGGATAACAAATTTGACACCCCACACAGAACAATACAACCATTTTAGTTTGATCGTTGTTAAGGCGCAAATTGAGACACAGAAGACGACCTAGCTTAGATTACAGATAAAGCCGGAGTTGCGGGGCAAGCGCAAGTAGGAGAAGGAACGGAGGACAGGGGTTCAGTCAGTAAGAGTCTGATTCTCATTCTCGCCTCATCCTGGGTGAGAGAAGTCTATTGATGATTTTCTCCGCCGAAATCAAGTTTAGATTACAGGTATCATATAATGAAGCATAAATTCTCTGAGATATATTCATCACTAGCTTCCGCCAGCGGCTTCGCCCGCGTGCTGTGTTAATAAAAAGCAGCCTATAGCAATAGAACAAAATTTAAGTATACATAAAAATTTGTTATTAGTCGTCTCATATTTATGGTTACATCTCCAATGGGTACCCTATTACTTACTAAGTCTCCGCTATCCGTCAGTTCATAGATAGAATGGAACGGATCTAACCGATAGGTGAGTATTACAAATATTTCATAAAACCTATTAAATTATATTTTATTTATACCGCGTCGCATCGAGCGCGACAACCGTGACACAAAAATAATCCTTATAGCATGATTCAGTGTTCACATGCGACGGCGCGATGGCTTATTATCCGAACTGCTAAGCTATCAGGAGTTACACGTGCTATTGTGAGTTAAGTATAAAAGTGAGACATATGATGAAAAACATTTTTTTAGAAAATTTTATGTAGAATATTTCCGTAATACATAATTTCTACGTAACTTTAACCTTGAGAGCTACACAAGCGACGGAAACTTAAAAAAGGTAGTTACTTCTAACGTTTTTCCAACGTTTCCCTTCTGTGCTCTGTTCCTTTTATTTGTAGCGTGATGAAAAGTATTCTATAACCTGCCCAGGAGTATAAAGAATAATTGTACCAAGTTTTGTTAAAATCCGTTGAGTAGTTTTTGTTTCTATAATGAACATACAGACAGACATACAGACAAAAATTTTACTGATTGCATTTTTGGCATCAGTATTAATCACTTATCACCCTTTAGTTAGTTTGAAAATATATTTAATGTACAGATTTGACCTCTCTACAGATTTATTATAAGTTTAGATAAAGCCAAAATTGATATGAAAACCTCATGACCTCATTTCAAAAGGAACGTTCCATTTTACCAGCAATTTTGGCTCAGTACAGAAGTACTAATTAATGAGTGTAAAATTAAGTTTATTTTTAATGTAATTTTAGATAAGCAGTCTCCGCAATCAGGGACATCAAATTACATTATCAGAGTCATAAATATTTGCAGCATATCACAGAAGCTGCTATCATATAGTTTGGTAAACACGAGATATTGTTGAGTGATGTTAAATTAAACAGTGATATAAGTACTACATAATCTTTATTTGTGTATCAACATTGACATTTTGTTTCAAACGCAATTAGTATTTACTGTTTACAGAATAAGGTTTAAGTTGGTGTGTCGTCATTGTTTTCATTTTTGTGGCGCGTGAATTGCACTGGCATTTTCTTGTTATCTAATAGGTAGTTTGCCTTTTATTTCAGAAAACTTCAAAGTCCACTCACTCAACGCTACTAGTTATGTTTCCTGGTCTCATCTTACAGAGGCCAGTCGGGAACAGCCGTCAACACCGTACTTTTTAATGAGAATTCCAATGGTGAAAAATGCAATATTTTGCCCGACCAACGGATGCCATCCTTGACCTGGCAGGCTGGCACTCAATAGTCGTATTTGAGAATACAAGACATGCATTGTGCGCATAGATAAGGCATCTATTAATATCTAGTGTTATAATACCTACCTAACTATACACATGACAAAATGCGTGAATATAATTCAAGACATTATAAGTATACATGTACACACATAGATTTTTCATCATTATTTCCTATGTATATGTGATTGAGTGTTTTGATAAATGTTCGTACTTGTCAACGCGTCCTTAGTTGTAATATTTGTTTCTCTGTATAGAAGCGCGAATGTCTGTCACCTACATAACAGTGGTCTATTCGGCAATATAAATAGACGCAGGTGCAAACATGCCAGAGAAGTGATTCACCTGGAAACTGCACGTTGAATAGATTAACAAAATAATAAAGGTACATCGACTTTCATCGGTTAACTTCTCGATTCGAAGAGTTTTCGAAAAGTCTAAGGATTCTTAGTCTTAGTTGGAACTCGAATATAAGATCCTTTACTGGGCATTTTTTTGTTTTTATAAAGTACTGTTTGGTTTGATTATGTTTAAGTACCTGTAGTACGAGTGAAGCGATAACTCGTTAAAGTTTGTTAAAGAAAACACAAGTTTTTATGATAAATATTTAGAAGAAAAGATTCTGTAACTTTATTACATATTTACTAAAAAAACTTTGTAGAACACGCTACGTGGGTAATGTGTTACACAGCTGTCTAAATAATGTAAGTAGATTTCAGATTCCCATAAATATATAATTCGATAAAGACTATTGTTCTTAAACAAAAGCGTAACTCCAACTCAAGTAGACATTTCTTTTGAATGTTTCATTTCGCTAGCAGTGGTAAATGAAAATAAAAACGTAATAAATAAAAACAAAGTTTGTGTACGCTAAGGGCTGATTTTTCAATGGTTAGATAAAAGTTATCTAGGGAATAATTATAGTGCTGTCGCGTCAGAATGTTTGTATAAGACAGTGACAGCATAACATTTATCTGACTATTGAAAAATCAGCCCTAAGTAGAATTATAGGTACTTCCAGATGTACCTATAAACCAAAGTTTTGTTAGTTGTAATTTAAACCTTATTTATATACATTTAAGCTAACTTATTGTCTAGCTTTACAATATAAATAAGAGAACTACATACCAATGGTTGTATAGTAGGTATCTATGGATACTTAGCTCAGTTGTTTTCGGATCAAAGGGCAATAGTACTTTGATAAACATAGGCCAGCGTTACTTATAGCATATACAAAGTAAATCATAGCTTATAATGAAATCAAATTTATAAGCCTGTTCATTTTCTTATTGATTTTGTCCTTTTATTGAATAGTAAATATACATTTCGTGTAAGTACATAAAAATCACACAAGTCTACAGTATCATAGCATTTTATCGCTCAAGCTAGACCAATGAAGTCAAATAAATATGATTGGGTATAAAAAGGTAAGAAAAAAATGTACTTACTGACAATGTGGATCATGAAAGACGCGAAGACCACCATCCATCCCCACCCCCCATCAGGAGGCGGCGGGGGACTGTCCGTGCTGTCTCGTGGCGAGTCCGGCGCGTGCGCACCGTTGCCATTCTTCTCACTCTTCTGCACCACCCCGTGAGACATCTTACAGTACCAAGCTTATACAACTCTCTTTGGCACCTTGCTACGATTACACGTCTTAAGGCTTCACTTGATATGAATCTCTTAAAACTCCTTAAATATTGATTTGTATTTTAAAATCAGCTCTTATTAAAAATATATTGTACGCTATTTAAGTATATTGTCGTTAAGATATGTTCTTGATTTATTATGTGCTTTTATGATTAAATTATTGAGGTATATCCACTCAATATAAATTGAATTACTATGTAAATTATTACTTAAAATGCAGGGAAGCGATTGAGGAAGAGATGAAAGAAATAATTATAATTATTATAAATTCTATGTGTGGTCATAGACCATGGTTCTTGTGTCTATCTGCGATTTAAGACCTCCGTGTCAAATATCGATGTATCCCAGTGCACGCAAAACATTTTCTTAATCTGTAACAAAAGAAACATAAATTTAAAATTTGAAAGTGGAATAAATCGAATGAATCTTTGGCAACTTATAACCAAGTAATAGAAACATTATGTCAAAAATTTTAGAGAGCTTTACTCATAAGTTACCTAGGCAATGTTGTAAGTACGATTTCAAAAAACGAAAGATTTTTATTTTGTAACATCAAAAGGTAACACATAAATTCTTCCAAATCATTACTGCATTAATAAGACAAAAATAAAAATAAAAAATAACTGCCGAGAATCGAGACATTTATTATTGAAACTCCTTTTCGAATAACGGTAACTGCTGTTTTACGATGACAAGTATTTTGAGATTTCATATTCTGTTGGCATCCATTTTGTGTGACGTCATATACATACTCTTTCAAAGTTCACGATCGAAAGGCCCTGTCTGGCGCCACAGAGGTTTCACTTTGAAAAATAACTATTTATCACTGAGTACGAATCAAGATGAATGAAGAATTGATGGCATCCACGAGTTTTTAACCGACTTCAAAAAAAGGACGAGGTTCTCAATTCGATTGTATTTTTTTTTTTTTTATTTTTTTTTTTTATGTTTGTTACCTCAGAACTCCGTCGTTTATGGACGGATTTGCAAAATTTTTTTTATGATTGAAAGGATATGCTTCCAGATTGGTCCCAATCTTTTCAAAATCAAGTTTTGATGATGGGATCCATGAGAAATCGAGGGAACTCCTCAAATATTATAGGCAACTATATAGTAATTTTAATATTTCCATAGAGCACTCAAGCATTTACAGTCAAAAAGTAATGTTTGATGAGGTGGATGGAACTGGTGAAGAAGATCAGAAATGGATGATGAAACTTGACACTCGCATAGATATCACAATCAAGGTAGTTCAGCAACTATGAAAATGCACTGTAAACCAATGATCTTAAATAATTATGTTGGAAATGTTATCATCGAACTGATTTAATGATGATTATGGAGCTGGAAGGTAGGCACTGGAACTGCGTACCTAATTAATATATCCTAGCCGTGTTTGGGCTTGTTAGAATTGTTATAAGATGCACTTTGGCTGTAAGGTACTATTGAACTGATGTGATGATGAAGCTGGAAGGTTGGCATGGGGCCTAGTATTGTGTAAGCTTATTAGAGCTGTCAAGAGCAATGGAAAGGGCTATGCTCATAGTTTCCGTGCATGTTCGAATCAGAAATGAAGAAATCCGCAGAAGAACCAGCGTCACCGACATAGCCCGAAGAAATGCCAAACTTAAGTGACAGTGGGCACGGCACATTGCTCGTAGAACAGATGGCCGATGGGGCCGAAAGGTTCTAGAGCGGGACCGCACACCTTTGGGGGCGGAGTTTGGCCTAGTATTGGCTATTTTGCATTAGTCCACGTGGACTGCGTTTACACATTAGTGGTGAAATGCGTCATTGTGTTCTTATCGTTTTCCTGGTAATAGGCTAAGAGAATTAATTGGCATTTTTAACAAAACAGTCGTTTTAAATGGGTTACAAAACAATAATTGCGTCGTACAAAACAATAATTGTGTTTCTTTTGTGTGCACATATGTAGATAATACTTACTTAAAAAAGGTTCATACATTGAATGAGTCATAAATGTATATTTACAATAGCGATGGTCTTTTATATTTTTACCAACTTGTCTATATATGAATGTTCTTAGTAATAACAAAATAGTATTCTTCATTTAATGGGTTACAATTGATACAAAACAATAATTGCATCGGTCTTTTTTCTATGTACGAATGTATTTAATCATAGATACTAAATTAGATTGCATTTGGTATCTTTGAACTTTATCTGTCTGTTGATGAAAATATCTAGTTTTTTGTTATTTGGCGAGAACTAATATGAATTTATGATAAGATTATTATTTTATTTTAACTATAAGTCATAAGTATCTCATGCATCATATCATCTCTCCTCGAGATCAAAACGATTACACAGTAACAATGTACTATGATATGTATTTCTACGTATAAGTATGACATTGGTAACTTTTTCAAAAGAAATGTAGGAACGATATTGACTTCTTTGCCATAACACATTATAATTAAAAAAAAAAAAACACTAAACGGCTACAAATAAAAAAAAATTTTACAAAATAAAAAAACCGCCTTCAAAAAAAGTCAAGCAATAAAAGTTCCTACACTAAAAAGTAAAAAATAACAATTTGAATTACTGTAAAAAAACTTAATTTATAGGTAAACTTATTTGACATTAATATTTTATTATCAAAATTTATTACCTACTTATTTTTGGAGTCGGTGCCAGCCCATGCAAGGAAATACAAATGGGCAACAATCCCTTGAAAAACTACCTCTTACTTAATTATAAAACTACTTAATACCTATTTGCATACTCAAATATAGGTATATTAATTAAGACATAAATACAGATTAGACTTCTCTACAAAAAATGTCCGATTTGCACATTTTTTTAAATAAAAAATATGTACTTACAAAAACATTTTAAGTACATTGAAACGGTCTTACTAATAAAGTTCGGTTACGCACTTGTTTAACACTTTGATAGCTATTCATTGAATAGGGAGTTAGTAATACTTTATACAAGTCATTACCAATAAACAATGGTTATACCTTGAATAACTATTTATTCCTTATACTGCTGATTGCTAGCAACATTGATGAAAGCGTTCCGAAACTTCCGAACAGAAACACTTCTTGACAATATTCTTGTATTATTATAATTATTTAATTATAATAATCAATAAAATACTTGATTTTGTAAAACAAAAAGAAGGTTTTAGGTTTTTAATTTAGTTTTAAAATATTAATTTATCAATTCTTTGCGAAACATTTTTGATAAAAATGTTGATATTTCGAATGTACCTAATCAATGTCAAATACATATTTGACACAAATTAGAGTCGTGGCATTAGAATTATACTTCGATAACCCAATTAGGTACTGAAAATATTCGTAACAGCTTTTAATAATAGGTGTTATACCTATTACTGAATATCAAGCTAATATTAGGGCAGCTGATCTTATATTCCTTTACCTATAATTGATGTGAAATAATGTTATAAGTATTAAGATACATTATCTCCACGTCAATCAATTTTAAAACTTCACAATCTCCTTCAAAATTTCGGTTTATATCGCCATCATACCCCATCTTCTGGTTAGTCAACTGCCAATCAGCTGGTTCTCACCAGTAGACATGTGAAATTAAATTAGTTTATCCTAATATATCAATGAACGAACAAATAAATAAGTATTACAAATATTGTATTCGTAATACGTATCTGTATCTATTACAGATATTTCGTCACACTTCTATGCCACGTATTAATTTTTATCCTATGCTTGATGCTTGATGTTGCGAATATAAATATCATCATCATCATCAGCCTATAAGTGCTCACTGCTGAGAAAAGGCCTCTTTTAATACTGAGAAGGTTTGAGCATTAATCAGTACGCTTGCTCAATACGGGTTGGCGATTACAAACTTACAATTGAATGAATATAAATATGTTCTAGTAAAAATAGAAAAGATTATGTTTATTTGGAAATAGTAATGCGATTGTTGTTTTGCCTTTTTAGGAATAACAACCTGGTTGTACCGACAAATATAAAAATACACACTGGATGTTTGATTTTATTAAATATGCCTTATTCAAGCAATCACATTTCTAAAGTAACAAATTCTGCGATATGCGACACGACTTGCCAATACGATAGATACTCTGCGACACACATTTGTAATAGATTACTGACTTATTCCATGAATATCAGCTGCATCGGCTTGATCTTTTGTCGTGTAAAGGCAGGGCTCTAAAGCTATGTAGGCATGGATTTCTGCTGGGGGACCCTTAGTCCTATGCTGTACCTATATCATGAGATAGCAGATCAACAAATTCCATATTGTGTTTCTTTGAAAATTTATATTTTCTTTATAAACTCTGCACCTTCTAATGAAAATATCATCGTTAGGATCATTGCGAAATTAATTTTCTTTCTTTTTTGTCGATTTTTCGGATTTCACAATCACTAAACACATTTTAGCAAAATAATGTAAAATCAATTTTATGAGTCTGACAGTTAAAATCCGAAAATGATCGCTTATTCACACGTTATACTAGGTCCACGGGCTGAATAAGTCTTGTCTAACATTTCATACAATTTTGACAATGGTTATAACAGCTGTATACGCGGGAAATGTCAAAAATTGATTATTAGTAATGAGTCTGCTATACCTCTGTTATAAGATGTGTGTAATTTTTTATTAGTAAGGGGGAAAATGTTTAAGCATTATGTACGAAAAATGGCACCGGATATTAAAAACCTAACTAACATTAAGTTTCAACATCAAAATGCTGGCACCGACTCCAAAAATAAGTAATAAATTTTGAATATTTGCAAAATATTAATGTCAAATAAGTTTACCTATAAATTAAGTTTTTTTACAGTAATTCAAATTGTTATTTTTTACTTTTTAGTGTAGGAACTTTTATTGCTTGACTTTTTTTGAAGGCGGTTTTTTTATTTTGTAAAATTTTTTTTTATTGTTATAATGTGTTTCTTTTACTGATATGTGGATGTACGGACGGATTTAAAGACCGTTTTTTGAAATGAAAACATTGCTACTATTTGTGGATCATTTAAGATTGATATATTACTTCTTACTTTTAAATTAATTTATGAAGAGTTTTACACATTCATGTCGTCATTAAACATGAAATTCTCTTAAAGCAATTAAAATGCAATT